ATAGATAGATAGGTTTTCCGTTGCTCTCCTTCTCGAGGGAGAGCAACGGCCATTATCACGGTATACCAGATTTGGTTTCATCTCGATATATTTCTATTTGCCTCTTCTTTACCTGTTATGATTGTTTGATTGTTAAGTTTTGGGCTTATCAATTGGTATCAGAGGCGAGGCGTGAAAAAGGTTGAATCTATCTGCTATTTTTTGGATCTAACGAAGAACTGCTATGTTTTTCTTCTCTTTTTCTTCAATATAGAGTTTTGCTCCTGTAATCTTGTTTGTGAACGAAAATATGTAAAAATTATATTGTTAGAATCGCATCTTCAAAATGATTCTATAGCATATCCTTGTTTTCGATTTCTGCAAATTTCCAGTTTCGAAGAACTCTACATGAAATCTCGAGTTTATGCTTTTACATGGCTGCAGAAACGATTTTGACTTGAAACGGATACAGGAGGAATCTCGACCTTCGGGGCTATCCAGAACAGTTTTCAGATTTTCAAAATTCGAAGTTTTCATTTTGCAGGAACTCGACATTTAAGGTCTCGAATTCCTAAACTCGACATTTTGAAATTTCGAGTTTTGAAATTTTGAATTTTGAAATTTCGAGTTTTGAAACTTCGTATTTTTGAAACTTTGTATTTTTGAAATTTCGAGTTTTGAAATTTCGGGTTTTGAAATTTCGAGTTTTGAAATTTCGAGTTTTGAATCTTCGAATTTTGAAACCTCGTATTTTTGAAATTTCGAGTTTTGAAATTTCAAGTTTTGAAATTTCGAGTCTTGAAATTTCGAATTTTGGAATTTTGAGTTTTGGGAACTCGATGTTTAGGATTTCGACATTCTGAAAGATTTCGAGATTTTTGGAATTTCTCGATGTTTTGAATATTTCAAAGTTTGCAGTTTCTTGAAACTCAGAATTGTTCGAAACCTGACATTCTTCGCAGTTCATCGAAACTTTACATTATAGGATATCTGAATGAATCTCTGCATATCAAAGTTTTTAGAAGTTTTCGATGTTCTGATGTTTTTCAACAGCAAGTTTTTGATGTTATGAGGTTTTCGAAACTCCCAAGTTTTCGATGTTCCAAACAACTTGAAATTCTGAAGATTTCGAAGTCTTGGGGTCTGTTTTGCAGGTGGATTTCGCCATTATTCTTCGAGGCAAACTCGAGATTACAATCTCGAGGTTTAAACTCAAGATTAGGACTTCGAGGTATTGCCTTAGAATTTTCCTTAATCCTACCTGTTCTCGATATTCAACATCGAGAACCTCAACTTCGAAGAAAATCCTCAAAAACTCAATAATTCAAGATTTTTTGCGACACCGCACTATTTTGGCCATAACTTTTGACTCGGTGATCCGATTTAAGCGATTTTTTTGTTGGAAAGGTAACGAAATGATCTACATGAATTCTAAGGGTTTACCCCAGAACCCCTTTTCACGCGCCCTCATGCGCAGTCCTTGAGGGTCAAATCGCTCATTTTCTAACAAACATTGTAAATCACCGATGTCAAGGTCAAAATTCAAGCAAATCTGTTCAAATTCTTCCAAAGTCAAACTTTTCTAAGCTACACTGTAGATGTCCGAAAATCGTAGATAATTCAATCAACCTCGCGTCAACGGTCATCTTACAACAATCAACAATCAACCACTGAAGCCTCCCCTGACTCATCAACATTGTGTGATCCTCAAACGCGCTGATATTCGAAATGATGAGCTTAGGGAAACCGTCATGTGTGGTACTTGTTCAGATTGCTCCACACACATGGCGGGTATGACGAGTTGTGAGCAATCAAACCTTGCACATTTCTGAGGGGTAGTTTTAGTTTTCTCCTCCTGACGCTTTACACCGACAAAGCAAGAATCTCTCAAAGGATGCAACATTTTAGGGGGAGTGTTCAATGTTATCCTCCCCGGTGCCTAACAATGACAAAGCATACCGAGTGCTCCAGTTGAGGGGGAGTACAGAGAGAAAATCAAGAAAGTAATGAGAGAACATGTCCCTATGGCTTAGAAAACCCAACTAAGCCTACCCAAGGGACAAAGCCGAACGTAAGTGAGTGAGTGAGCGAGTGAGTGAGTGAACATTATGAGCATTAGGAAGCAGAAGGCTCAAGTGAGCAAGGAAACAATAATCAATGATAAGTCTGCTACCTCAACTTCCTGCTATCAATTGAATATTTACTCCTAGCCACTAAAATACTCTAGACAATCCTCATAGGTTCAGGACTGATTTAATCAGATCCCGGGTAGAAGTCACTGCATCTTGTCCAATAGTGCATGCTTATCCCTACCCAAGACCACTCACTTGTCTCCCAACAGACAGATGTTTAATCATATTTCACGGGGAACCGCGTCTCTCATTACGTACTATCTCCTCCTGAGGCAAGTGATACTGTTTATAGTGGCCTTAGCTCCATGCCACTGAACTTTCATTGATCACGTCGTGTCTAGTAACATCACTCCCAAATATTTTTGAAATTTTCTAGGACACAGACACACTTTTTGAGTCAGTTACAGGTCTACATGACCCACGAGAACTTCCATAGGGCTCATCCTTTACAGATGTAGACCAACGATTGGAAGGAAGTCCCGCTGTTGCAACATAAGAATCACCAACATTTTCAGGCCATTTCTTTAGAGTTTATCTCTATAGTGATGATAACGAGTGTCTACATGACCTCGGGGGCTACAAGTTCTTGATGCTAATCTTTATGATTTTGCCATAACAACCAGAGTGACATCTATTTGGATGCTTCACAATGACTGGTCGGAAGTCCTATTAAAGCTGTAATGCTTCTATCATTTTGATACATGCCACACATCATTGTTTACATTGATGTTGTGTTAACGGAACACCTCAGTGTATCCGGTATTGTTCACTTTAACTTTCTGTTTGTTTTCTATTTTTCTTTCAGTTCGAATAAAAGAATAAAGACATGACGCCTCGATTCATCGGATTGTCATGAGGGAGAGAGTTGTCCACATGCTGTTAAATGTCACCAAATCATTCTCTGACACTTCTCTCCTATCAAAAATTTTCAACGACTCTCTTCTATCTCTACACCTCAAATGGTCAGCAACGCTCACACAAGTCAACCATCTTTTTCCGCTGTGACACCGATAAGGTCTCCTCAAACGCATTCACTTCGAATAGTAAAAAAGACTACATTGTGGAGGAGACAAAGGTCACATACTCGAATTCTGAAGATGATTTCCATGTGCGCCTGCAATTCTTCAAGAACATTCATTCTAGACGCGCCACCGGACTTCATTCAAGCTGATCAAGAGCTACTTCTGAACGCAAGGTTTACAAGCAAGCCAAAACGAAGACTCCTCAACCCCCGACATCAAAGATCAAATTGCCAAGAAGACATGAAAGGGGAGATTACAAGGATGTCTTCAAAAAGCCTTCTCAAGAAGTCAAGTTCAAAGACAAAGAAAGCTGAATAAAAACAAAGACAAAGATATCTGCGCTGCAATGATGATTCAACGTGATTGAACACCAAGGGGGAGATTGTTAGGAATATTTTATGGTGTTCAATCTAATTAAATATCTTTGTATTTGTGTAGTTATTAATTAAATGTGTAATACGGGCCACAAATGTGTATCAGCCCGTTAGCTTCTTTGTAATCCATAAGTTAGCCAACTTATCCTATAAAAAGAGGCTAACTTATGGAAACCCAAAAAGGATTCAGAGGCTGAGAGTGCGTAGAGGCGAGATAGAGAGATAGGTTTTCCGCTGCTCTCATTCTCGAGGGAGAGCAACGGCCATTATCACGGTATACCGGATTTGGTTTCATCTCGATATCTTTCTATCTGCCTCTTCTTTACCTGTTATGATCGTTTGATTGTTAAGTTTTGGGCTTATCACATTCGATTGGCTTTGTGACTATTGTACCAGCGGGCCTATTTCTACTACTCCTATGTGCTGGCTCTTTGACACTAAATGGAAAATTTCCAATTTTCCCATCAAATAACACTTCACCATGTTCTCAGAATAATGGTCTTGCTACTGCACACATGAACATCACCCTTGTGATAAATCTTTTTGCTCTTGCAACTCCTATATGGCTCAAGTTCACCTGGTAGTAAATAATATTTTTGTGCAGCTTTAGCCATAAAAAACCACTTCTCGTCAATATGGACTATGTTTCTCATACTTTGAAATTTGATCATGTTACGTAACCTGTCCACAAAAAGCTTACCTAACACAAAGTTCAACCTGAGAAGCTTATTAGGTGGTGTCAGATCAGGTTTATGGCATTTGTATGGCGCTTTATCAAACCTTTAGAAACTAACCTCCCCACACTACTCTTTGACAACCCTATTTGTCTGGCAAGTGATCTTATTGTGCTTCTTAGATGCAGCGGGATAGTGAAAATGAGTCCAGAGTCTACCTGAGAGGTTGGGGCAGCCCTCCTCATTTTTTTGGAGCGGACGTTTATCACAATACCTTCCTGCCTTTGCTCTATGACGGTTTTCCAAATTTTGGAGATGCTTCTCCGATTGACATTCCATATTAGGGCTGCTAGAGAAATTTTCCCTTTAAAAAGTTTCTGATTGTGGGAATGTTCAAGCAGGAAATGTGTTATCTCCTCTCTCTCCTGATATACCACTAAATGGAGGGAAGTTTTTAAAGTGCCTTGGTGTGCTTTTGTAATGGAGGGAAATTTACCCCCTCCCAAATATTGAAAGTTTTAGTTCAGAAGGGTGTCTGACACATGGTACACCACATATGTAATTGGGGCTATTAAAAAAGTTCCCTTCTCTTTCCTATTCATTCGATGTCAACTCATATCGTTTCTCTTTCTTCAACTTAATTACTTTTTCTAATTTTTCTCTTTCCTCTTATTAACCAAATTACTTTATTTAATAACTCACCTAAAAAATCGTGCCATTTTCCTCCGAGAACGTTCTAACGGGAGGAAGCGAGTAAAAATTATTTAAAAATGTTTATGTGTAGAAAATAAGGCCCATACTAAAAAAATCCTAAGGACAGTGCATACGGGGCTGTCCATCAGGCCCAGATGCAAAAACTAACACCGGCATGAGTCAGTCGAACAATCGTCTCTCGTCATGTCTTCTTCAAAAGTTCAGCACGGCTGACTAGGCGACAACCCGTCTCCAACGACTCTGCACCAGCTATCACCGTCCGCCTTACACCTGCGAGCCGCGAGACACCACCGGAGACCACACGCTTCCCTGCCGTCTGCCGCACCCGCACGCCGGAAAAACTCTGATTTCTGTCTTTCCGACTCACTACTTTCTAGGTAAACCTAAACTAAAAAGTAAATTTCTGATTTTGTTCAAAAGACAAAAACTTCCACTCTTCCAGATTAACTTTTTAATTTTTTTAGGATGCGTTTCAGGAAAAAAATCAAATACTAATTTACCATATTTGTTCAATTAGTAAATTGTAATGTTCAGAAATTTCATTTAGTGAAATTTAGGATATTGAAATTTGTTATTCCGGCTAAATAAGCAAAAGTTTGTTTTGCGGTTTTGTATACCTCAAATTCATAGCAAACCCAAATGCATCTGCCTATTTGTTCGACCTCAATTGTAGTGACTACGGACTAACACATGCTAGGCATTTCATTACATTGCATATTTAGAGAGTTTGCTATCATAGATCAATTTACGTGAATCGGTGATATGTAATTTGCTTGTGGTGTGTTGAACGTTTTCGGGCAATTAATGATATGCTTGTGATTTGTGTCTATGAACATTAATCCTATTGTTTCGAATATACTTGTGAGAACCTTTTTGCTATATTCTAACTTATCGTATGATGTGGTGGATAGTTGTAGTCTTTTAGAGTACGAAAAACAAATGAAGGTAGGTTTGAACTTTGAAGAGATACTATAATTCTATTGAAGTAGAAGCTAATGGAGATACCTCACTAAGAATTGTAAAGGCCTCTAGTAGATCTAATTGAAGAAATGTCAAATAGATTATGTAAACCCATAGACAAAAAGGTATCATCTTGAAAAAGATATCTTCTTGAAAATTGACAGTGATGATGTCATTATGAGGCGATATCATTCTATAAAAACCTGCAAAAAAATCATGAATTTATGATGTCCTTATCATATTTTACTTCAATGGAAACTCTTATTCTCGTAAAACATTTGTAATATTTATTTTTGTACTTGATTGTTGTTATGCAATTGAAGTTATATTATACTAGTATATTATATCTTCTTCTTCTTCATCATTGCCCCAGTGCCGCAAAGGCTCCCACCTACGGTGGGGTAAGGGGGGTCGGATGTACGCAATCTTACCCCGTACTAAAGCACAAAGAGACTGTTTCTGAATGACCCGTAGTGAAAATCGCGTCGAAAATTGCATAGGCTGACTGTTACTTCATAACAAAGAAGCGCAGACAATTTAGTGAGCCATTTTGCTTTATTCCATCATATTCCCAAGCCAAAAAATAGTGAGTCTTTGGCTCCATTGAAAATGATGGAAATGCTTTATTCCATTATATATATGAAAATTTTGTCCCCACCTGGATTGACAGCTAGATCTACCCCTGTGCAGGTCTGGAATGAAGGGTTTGGATATGATGCCAAATGTATCATGTCTTGCTTCTGGAGTTGCTTATATGCCTCATATGTCCAGCAACATGCAGTCTTATAATTCATCATTCTCGTGTGTTCTACGCCCACCTTTCAGAGTTGCAATATCTTCCATCAGAAGCGGTTCATTCAGACCTTGTCAAAGTATTTTGTCCTCTCACTACAGAGGTCAGTACTTGTCCTTCTTGGAGAGCATTCATTTTACAGTTTTGCTGCAGACGTCATGCCTCTTACTGTTTGATATTGGATCCCTATTTGTTAGGGATAGGAAATTCCATAATGGAAACATTAATCAATTTCTTCTTTCCTTTTAGGTTTATTTTGAAACCACTTACCAAGTTCTCACATTTTATTGATTGTTCATAGGAAAAAACAAGTTTCTTCATTGTTTATTTTGGCAATTGAACAAGAAATAAAAAGGCTAGTTCAGGTATCATGGTGGTTTGTTCCGGAGTGGTGAGGCATAAGCCTCAAAGCATATTGAAGCGTAAGTCTCAAAATATACCAACAAATAAAAGGGAAGCCTGGTGCACGAAGGCATCCCCGCAAGGTGAGGATCCTGAGAAGGGTCCCATGGTCCCACCATAAGTGTGTATAAAGGGCAAGCCTTCCCCTGTCAATTTTTTTACAAGAGGCTGCTCCCAAGACTTGAACCCGTGACCTCTCTGTCACACAACAACACCTTGACTTGTCCGCCAAGACTCTCCTTCAAAATATACCAACAAATAAAACTTAAAATAGTTAAACTAGTAATAAACATCTAAAGAAATGCATATAAGTCCGAAAGGTCTGAAAGACAAAGACAGATATGAAAACAAGCTCTTCTTCATCGTGTGGCAATTCATCAACCAAAAGATTTTCCTCATCATTGGTTAGGATCTTAATTTGAGGTGTCTATCTTTCAGTCTTTTGTAAAACCTTGACCAGTTCCAGGAAAACATGACCAACAACTCAGTACAAGAAGGAAAAGAGGAAGTGAAGGAAAGGAGATGAAGGAGAAGAGATTCAGAAGAAGAGTAATAGATGAGGAGAAGGGGATGAAGTAGAAGAGAGGAGAAAGAAGTTGTCGATTTCTTTGTTTTGGAGTATGAACACTTCTTTGTGCAGAAGTATGCAAACATTTAAACGACTAATAATAAATACTTTAAATGAAACAAAACTTGTTAGGGGTTTAGTGTGGTCTAGGGGCACATGTTTAATGTATGGACCTTTTATTAAATATACTGCATTGGTCCTTTCTTAAGTTACAACACATTAAAAAGATAGAACAAAGGAAATCATGCCTCAAGGCGTATGCCTTAATTTTGAGGCGTTAGCCTCGTGAACTGCAAAAAAACCTAAGCCCCGATACCTTCTTTGTATGTCTCACCTTGAGGTGCACCTAAAAACCCGCCCTTTTTGAACCATGATGCTGAACATGGATTGTAAGATCGTACATATGAGTTTACAAGAAGATTAGGGGTAAGTTATTTGGATCACTATTAGAACCGGAAAAAAGGTAGGCGACTAGGATCACTGTGCTTGATCGTGACATTACCAGATCGTCGTGCTGTGTCGATCCAGGAAAGTATGAAAGACATTCTTTGGGTTGTATCATAGTCATCGGCCCAGATCCATAAAAAAATATTTTAGACTTTCAAAATGTCAAATCTTCTGAACTCTTTATATCTGCTTTTTCTCTCCATCTCTCTCTGATGTATCCGTTTGATTTTATTTTCTTCTCTCCATCTCTTCCTCATCTTTTGTCACTCATCACCTCATTGGTACAATAGTAGTACTCATCAAGTTTTTGATGTTTCTTTTAGATTCGTCTCCTCATTGGTATACTTGTTCCTAACAGTTTTTTCTTTATCGATTCTCCAAGTCCTCTCAGTCCGCAGCATGCAATTATTTAACTTCTTTAAGTTATTCTATATTCATTCACTGCTGTTAAATATCTAATTTATTTGTTTCCTTTTTTACCAGTGAATTTTTAAATTATTGTTTTGTTTTGAAATGCAAAAATGAAAAATGTCTTCTAGTGGTATTATGATTTATGAGACATAAAACAAAACAGTTTTTTTTGTATAGATAAAATATAACTGTATTTTAAATTTAAGTTGTTATATACGGGTATAAATTTTATAAATTTCAAATATAAATTAGGAGACTATGATCCTCTGATTTGAGTTATGATTCACAAGTTACGAACAACCACCCACTTTCGTTCTTTTCTAGGATCTTGAGTTTAACAACCTAGATGGTGAACAAATTAGAGCAGGCAGCCAGGCTGGTGATGTTAGTTTTCTTAGCATACTTAGATCCCTGAATATTTCAATTGTACTTCATACTCTATCCGTTTCTGTAAAAGTGTAGCACACTAGATTTGCACCTGAATTATGAAAAGCACTTGCGTAACTCAATCTCAGGCAAGATATAAATAGTCATGTATCCCTTCTGCATATTAAATACAATCTTTTCCTTCAATATTCTTAATGAAGATCAGTGAATTAGGCGGTTAGGGTATATACTAGATTTAGTGATGTAAACTAATGTATTAATCCTATGAAATTCGTAATGTGACAGTTGTTAAAACCATAAAATATCACTGGTGTGAACTGTGAACTAATTGTAATGTAGATTTCACTACTTGTCTCAGCAAGCTATGCACTGTGTTGTCATTTCAGGAGTTTCTTCATTATCACCACTACCTTCGCAATGGAAAATGTGCGCACCCTCATGTGCAAAGCTGAAATTACCAAGGGAATCCTGTTATCCTCTCTCACCTACAAAAGCTTTCAAGGACATAACCTATGATGCACCTTCACCTGCTTCCAACAGCCATACCCTCTTTTCATGTGATACTCTAAATTCACCAAGGAAAGAACACTTCTCTCTCACCGCAAGAGCATTTAAGGGTTTTTATCATGACATGGCGGAGAAACCGAAATGGTGGTGGAGAACCTTAGCGTGTCTTCCTTATTTAATGCCTCTCCATCTAACATGGTATTTTGCTGGTGAATCATTCCATCTTCGACCCTTTGTGGAGAAATCCGATTATCTATCAAACCCTTACAATAACTTTCTAAGAAGATTGCCTAGCTGGCTTTTGATGGCATATACCTTCACAGCTTGTTTTGCTGTAGTGAAGAGAAAGGAATGGCCACATTTTTTCAGATTCCATGTCATAATGGCAATTCTGTTGGAGAATTGGATGCATATCATCATCATTGTATATGGTTGGACGCCCCCTTTTGTGCATTGGGGAAATAATATTGGGACACATATTTGGGCGGCTGTTACTGTTGGGTTCCTCATGATGATCTTTCAGTGCATGAAGTGTACACTTGCTGGTAGATATGCTGATATTCCATTGGTGTCTGATGCTGCTAATATCCATCTTAAAGAAATGGTTTAGAGGTTGAAAAGAAAAAACTTGTGTACAATTTCAGAAATGATAGTTTCCTCCATTTCAATAATGTCTTATTTCTTATTTTTTGGAAGAAAGGTCATATAATCCTCTTGTGCATTCATTTAGTGAGTGGAGTATTCTAATACTTAGGGAAATGCATTTTATGCTTTTAGTTCTTCCATTGAGGCGGCTTCGACTACCACCTGAAACATGCGATAAAAATGTAAACTTGTTATTAAGTGGAAGGAAAAGTAAATATGTGGTCATTATTTGGTCAATTCATTTTTAAAAAAAACAATTCTATAAATAAATAGTAAGACCTACAAAGTACAAACAATGCAAAAAAGGGAAAGTTACATGACTTACATCCATTAGCAAAAAAGGGACCTCAGGTATAACAGGGTTTTTTCATTTGTTAAAAAATGCCTTAACCTATGGGTTATATCATTACACAATTTTATGAGTTGGAATGATCGTATCAATTTATACCACATTACTTACCAAATGTTTTCATGGTATGCTCCTATAGCTTTACAAAAATAGCACTTTGGGAAGAACACTATTATGATGAACATAATAGTATAAAGTTCAATATAACTATTATTCCTAAAGTTACATTATGATCATTATTCATTAATTACTTATGCATTGAGGTCACTCTAGTTTCTTAAATTAAACTTCAAATGATATTTTGTTATTTATACGGAATATATCTTTGTGTTTCCATAGAGATTAGAATATAATTAGTTAATAGAATATTTAAATTAGAGTTTCTAGTAATCATCAAACTTCTATAGTTTACCATTGATGACAATTACTTGATAAAGAAAATAAAATCACACATACAGATTTTCAAGGAAAATATAACTTTTGTTAATAAATTGCTTTTTCAGTTGGCGCACTTTTAATATATAACTATTGTTTCATGTTCGTATGTGGCCCTTTCCTTCTATATTTAAGTTAGAGTTAATTATCAAAATAGGACTAAAAGTCATTCACTTTTCACAAATAGGACCAAAAAATGAACTATGTTTGCATAGGACTAATTATGTGTACCTTGGACAATTATACCCTTATAGCTATTAAAATGTTTTAATTCCTAATAAAATAATAAAATATAATAAAAATTCGTAAAAAATACTAAAAAATTAAGAAAAACATTTCGATATTAAAAATTTAATTAATTTTTTTTTTTCAAAAAATTAAAAAAATTAAAAAAAAATTAAAAAACAAAAAATAAAAACTCAAAAAAAATCGCCACCGCCTCTGCCGCCTCAGCACCACCACCTCCAGTCACTAGGGGAAAAAATGCCAAGTTCATTACGAATGCCATATTTATGGCAGAAAAAAATGAAAATGTTGACATTCGAAAAGAGAAATATGCCATTTTTTTGGCATTTTCAGAAAAAATGGCATTTTTTTCATCGGCCGGAGGTGGTGGTGTTGGGAGGTAGTACAGGCGCTGGGAAAGGCATCCATATTTTTTTAAAATTTTTACGGAGTTTTACTATTTTTATTATTTTTTTTTAAAAAAATTATTTTAAAAAGAAGTTTTTGAATTTTTTATTTTATAAAAATTTTATAAATTTTTTAATTATATTTCTACGAATTTTTGAATTTTTTTCGAATTTATTATGAATTAAACATTTAATTATGGTTTTTGACTATTTTTAATTCATATTTAATGGTAGGGTAAGAATGAAATGCAAAAATAGGTATTTTTCCGATCAAAAAAGGTATGCTAAAAATTTGATCGGAAACACCGTGAATGGGCAAGACGTAATAGTCATGTACTAGAAGTGGACAAATCAAGACACATGCCAAAAGCGAGATCGATATAATATTGTAACACTAAAATGCAATTAATTATTATATCGCTAACGTTTTAATTTAGATAAGATACTACCACTAAATAACATACCAAATTAGCATATACGGTTAATGTTTTTTTTCATAATTTTATGATTATAAACGTATGTGTGTGATTAGGCTGTCAGCTATGCATATAAATATACGTAGTATAACCTTAACATTAGTGCCTTACAAATACAATAAAGCAAATTATTGAGATAGGGAATCGCAAAAAAAGTGTTGGTTTCAATGGCTTCGTTTTTCAAGTTATTTCTGGTTGTTGTTGTTATGATCGCAAACTTAGGTATTCATTATAGTATGTATTGTTATTTTTATAAAAATGATTTACACTCATTTTAGCTTATCATGAAGAAGATGAGAAGCATTTCATCAATTTTGTGGTTTTAATTTGTTTATAACAAATGAATTTTACTTTTTAAAGGTTCAATATCGGATGCTTATGGAAATAAGCACTTTGAACCAAAAGAGGCAATATGCACAGGAAGATGTAAAGTGAGCTCAGATTGCAAGCAGATTTGTGCAAATGCAGGGTATGGTTCACGTGGTGGTCTTTGCGGCACCATAGCTTCAAATCCCAACTTATGCTGCATTTGTTTTGCACAATAATGGTTTAAGCAAGATCATATATTCTACATGTAAAATTACACATGTATTAATAAGCTCCATTGAGTTTATATATTAATATATATAGTAAAATTACACAGTATATTATACTTCCTCCGGTTCTTATTTAAGTTCCTAGTTTGACTTCACACATATTAAGAAAATGAATTTGACTTTACTGTGGAGTGCACTGTTTGGCACTGTTTGGACACTGTTTGGCACTGTTTTGCACTGTTTTGTTTCCTAAAATGGAAGTGTGAATTTAAATAAGGGACATCCCAAAAAGGAAAGTGGGAACTTTAATAAGAACCGGAGGGAGTATTGTATACTCTAATAAAGATCGAGAATTAGTTTCGTTTTGTTAAAGATATCATGTCTGAGCTTTTACCTTAAGGGTATGTTTGGCACAACTAGCTGAAAAGATACTTTTGTGAGTTTTTTAAAAACTGTTAGCTTTTAGTGACTGAAAAGATCTTAAAAAGAAAAGGTGGTAGCTGTTTGGTAAAAAGTTGTCTGTTTGATTTAGTTCGGTTTGGCATACAAGCTGTTAGGACTAATTGATACTAAAAGTCACAAGCTTTTTTCAGATGCTACTATCCGTAGCATCTCAAAAAAGATCTTTTAATTTTTGAAAAGCTCTTAAAAATTGTCATGGCAAACATATAACTAGAATCTTTTAGAGATTTTTTGAACAATACAAAAGCTAGAAGACAGGGTCTTATGCTTGCCAAACATAGCCTAACTAATGAGACTTTTTTATTTAGAGCCCGTATGGTAGCACAAAAATCGGCTGATTTGGCTGATTCTGCTGAAATTTATGAAGTTCCGGCTGAAGTGGCTGCATTGTCTGATTCTGTCGTTTTAAGAAAAAATTATTTTTAAAATATATTTTATTAATAAAATAAAGAAAAAATTATATATAAAAATAGTCAAAATAGTCATCTCCAGTAACTTCAGCCCATACAGCCAGAAAAGTAACTTCAACCTCACTTTTTCTGCTTATTACACGATTCAGCGCGTGAAAGCAAAAGTTATGTATTTGGTGAAAAAATTGGCTTTCGTTGCACACCCACGACTTTTTATTGATGTTGCATATTTTTGTGGCTTTCGTTCAACGTGAACAACTGAAGTCTGAACATCAAAGCAATGCTTGATACTCCCTTCGTTCTTAAATATGAGTCCTCTTAGGCTTTGGCACGAGTTTTAAGAGGAAAATAAATAAATAATAGGGGTAGTGTAAAAGGTGTAATGTGTTGTGGGTAAATGAAAAAGTAGGAAAGAGAAAGAGGTAATGGTAATAAAAATGGGGTATAAAGGTATTTTAATTGAAAAAACTTACCAAAAAGGGAAAGAAGGACAAATAATTAAAAACGTCACAAAAAGGAATGTGAGACTGTTAATAAAGAACGAAGGGAGTATATACGGAGTATTTTTAAGTACGTTTGTGTGTTTCGGTTGAAAAAGTAAACATGTTTCGGAATTTGAAAATAGTCCTCCTAGATTTTTCTTGCTGAAATATGAGTTATTAGTTTCATTATAAAAAGGGAAAATGAAAACTAATAATTCAACCTTTTAGCGGTCTTCTTACAATAGTCTCACCTTTTGATTATTCGGGAATAATCCAACATTTGCACCCATCTTCATTCAATGGTCCCTAACCGGTAGATGACCTGCTATGTCAAGTTATTTTCTTATCTTTGCAATATATTATACCATAAATCTCACATTATGGTCACATAATGTTTAGCAAAGATAAGAAAATAACTTGAAATAGAAGGTCATCTACCGGTCAGGGACCATTGAATGAAGATGAGGTGCAAAGGTTGGATTATTCCCGAATAATAAAAAGGTGGGACAATTGTAAGAAAACCGCTAAAATGTTAGATTATTAGTTACCATTTTCCCTTATAAAAAAATATTGTCAGATAATAAACAAATAAATAAACCTATAGATAATACCACAACGTTACGAGAAAAATTGGTGAATTAAAGTAAAATAATACGGAGTACTAGCGCCGAAAAGAGGTGACGACAAATTAAAACTGTCCCATCAAAATAAATAAATAAATAAATATAATATTTTCATTTGAAATATTCTTACTTTTTTCGACAAAAACTCTACCTTTGCCATTTTCATCTAGGTATTTCTTACTCCGTATAATTTTATATTTGAAATTTTATCAATCCGGGACCTGAAAGATACACGAACTATCAATTTGGGACCTGAAAGATGAAATGTATCAGTATAGGATTCGAATGATGGAAAACTATCAATCTAGGACCCGAATGATTGAAAACTTTCAATTTAGGACCTAAGTTTTCATAAATTTTATTATAATTTTTTTTAAAAAAATTAAATAATATTTAGTTTTATTAAACTAATACACTTTTGTGAAGAAAATTTCATCAAATATTAGCAATAGAATTAAAAAAATTAAATAAATCAAAACCTATGAAATGTTAGGTCCTAGATTGATAGTTTTTCATCTTTCGAGTCTTATACCGATATATTTCATCTTTCAGGTCTTGGATTAATAATTTGTGTATCTTTCAGGTCCCAGACCGATAAAATGTCTATTTATATAGATCGGAGAGTCTCTTTTATACTCAGACTCCGTTTGGTAACCCTTTTTTTCGGCTTATCAGCCAGTTTTTTCACCAAACACGTAATTTTTGATTTCGCGCGCTGAATTGTGTAATAAGCAGAAAAAGTAAGGTTGGAGTTACTTTTCTGACTGTATTGGCTGAAGTTGCTGTAGAGGATCATTTTAGCTATTTTTCATATAAT